GGGAATACATTTTTTGTGATTTAAATGGATTGATTCTAGTCATTTTTGATAGAACACACCTAACAGTGGACAGGGAAGATGTCTGTGCTTTTCTTTCAACTGAATGTAACAAAGATTCAATTTTTTTCTTGTTCCTCTGATGTTTTGACCAGTCTTCATGACATTCACAGTGTTTTCCAGTGGCTTTCAGCGAGAGCTGTTCCAGACTGATAATGTGAAGAACTCAGTTCAGAGCGCTCCACATATCAGTCTGGTGTGGGTCAGGTTAGCTAAAGTGGGCAGCACCTGAAGGACTGCAGGGGAGAATGAGGAGGAGGAGGGGTGGAGTCTGGAAGACCAAAGGGGAAATTGGCGAAGGGGAGATCTGGACGTTTAAGGAACAGTGTGATTGGTCTAACAGGTATCCACACTTCAAACTCCACCCCAGCAGCCAGGTGAAATCAGAAACACCTGGATGTAGTCAGGGCAGTGTTGTGTGATGTCACCAACTACAAGTAGTTGCAGTGGTTATAAAAGGCCACAAAGGTGCACAATTACCTATTTGCACTAAAATTGACCAACAAAAAATGATTTGGTGAGAATATTAATGCTGACTCAATATCCAGTGTGATGTACAGTAACACGACGACCAGACTTATAGTGATTTGCAGAATTCAAGAAAGAAGGGCTGCAAGTAAATCCGAATGAGAAAAGGAGAAGCCAGCTCTGGTGACATGCACGTGTGTCTGTGGTGTGTGGTAAACAGACCACAGTGGTTTTATTCAAGGAAGTACACTCGTTGGTGTTGCCACACTGCTTTGACCAGTGGTGGTCCAGTTGCAACAGTGGGAGTGGGATCGATTCTTGTGAGTTTCTGAATTCACAAACATCTCAAGAATGAATGTTGCTGGCAGGTTAGAGAGGGCGGCCATCTCTAATAGAACACCTAGCCATCCTGCGAAGCAATCCCATCTGGACCACATACATCTGTGATCTTGTCCTTTCAACAATTTTTGTCCTTTTTCATGTTATTTATTTTCATCATTTGTGTATTTAAAGATTTGGTCTTTAATAATATCATACAATAAAATAAGGTAAACATACATCTTTTACATTCATGCTACATCCATGATCCCATTGGTCAGATTGTTGCCACTTTCATCTAAAAATAAAATAAACAGCAAAGACAGCTATGCTGAAATGACTAAATAGCCTTGACAACAATTCAATCTGACTGGAACATTTGTCAAAAAGAGTAGGTTCTGCTCCTGCTACTCCTTAACTTCATCTCACAGAAAGTTATTCTTGGTGAAATCTTTTGTGATCTTGATCTCTTGTCAGTAAACTGTCAGCTTGAGCTTCTACAACTTTCGTGTGAGAAACATGAGGAGGCAGATACCAGGATGTTTGCTCACATTACATACTCAGTACAAATTATGCACCACAAACGGGCTGTAGTGGTTTAAACTGACACAGATGTAATAGGCGGACCTAAAGGCGGGTTTAATGTCCTCTGCCAATAAACACCAGACAGACCTTCTGCCACTGTGCAGGTACGGTGACCCTGAGGAAAGCCTGGATGTTCAGGAAGAGGTTATAACAGCAGCACAGCAATACCCCGTGTCACTCTATGACAGGAGTGACTTTGGTGGTTCTCTAGATGCACTACGAGCCCATCTCTTTGTGAGCCTCGAAGGAGACAAGTGTTGCGTTCCACCAGCTGAACATGCCTTCCTGTTACACCTTCGCTGAGCTCTGTAGCAGTTGGCTGTGTGTAAACGGGCACACATGGTTCAGTCAATCTGCCCAGCAAATTAAGTTTAATCTTAAATTATTTTGTTCTGTTAAAGTTGTAATAGTTGTCATCTGAGGCAATAAAATAATGACATAATAAAGTCATTTTGTTGTATTATGTTTCTATTGGGAGAACAGAGTTATGTTGAAATGAAAAAGATCCCTAGGACATGATGTTTAATAATGTGGACATTAATAACCATGCTAAATATTCAGTGTGCCTTTTGGATATTTGATGAGTCTACTGTTTGGTGAAAAGAATGGCATATTGGCTGATGTCAGAACTTGAGGGAATAGTTGATTGCTATTGAGGTAAACATGAACATATTGGGAAAAAAAGTGAGAAAACGCCTTATTTTTTGCATTAAATTGAGCCAAAATCATGTAGAAATGTGCTTTAACAATTATGTTTTTCACTGAATGTTGTCACCACGTGTTTTTTGTTCTTTGCATGTGAAATACATTGATTGACAACTTACCCAACCCACTGAAGATTTCAGGAAATTTTTAATTTTTCAAAATTTTCTATCAAAAAAATGAAGGCTACATACACTAAAATGGCCACAATTTTTTTTCATGATATTTCTAGCAGAGTAGACCCTTCAATCATTGGTTCTTAGGGTCAAAGTTAAAACAAAAAACAAAACAAAAAAAAGGATGGCAGACCATGTTGTCAGTTGACAGGCTCAACCCATGTTATTGAGATTTTGAGACTTTGGCTCCCTGACTATTACCTCTGAGCTATACTGGTCAAGTGTTTAGTCCCTTTCATGAAAATGTGCTTGTTTCGTCCTCGTAGCTTCATTAAAACTCTCTGTGGGTTTGTTTTCCCCTCACAGTAAAAACATTATTAGTGTTTGATGGAAATCTGTTCAAATACAAAAGTTTGAGCAGACTTTTCCTCGTGTTAGCTGCAGATTACTAACCAAAGTTTTTGCTCAGAGCTCCAAGGTTCATGCAGTTAAAAACAAACTTATTTGACAGTTTTGTGGGTTATGGCCATACTTTACGTTTACAGTTGTGTTAGTAATGATTTCCTAAACTTAAAAGCGTACGGACAGGCTTTTTGCTCTGGGTTTTCGAACATCTGTCTGGTTTAGTTTAATTTAGTCCTGGTTCAGTAAGGACTCGTGTCCCCCCACAGGAGACTGGAGTGCCAGTGTCTGCTGCTGGAGGACGAGGAGGAGGTCTAAGACATTTCTGTAAAACCATTTTTTGACAAAAATGCAAACTGATTAAATGAGCGACACACTGTTTAGTCGCCTATTTTCAATTCAAACTATTTGAACCATTTTGTTTTTTTAAAATATGACAGATTATAGCAAAAATGCTCATTTCCATCTGTAGTCCCTGGGCAGATGACACCACAAATATAACAGAAGAGAGAAGAGTAACAAGTATACAATAAGTGACAAGTGACAGTTCTATCCTAAACATGTCCACAAGTCTAGTTTTCCTTTAGTCACTGTTCCAGGGGCATTTGAAAGTGGCCAGTGTTGGAGCCTCTCTTATTGAAAATGGAAGACTGTTCCAGAACTAGAATAAAAACTCACCAGAGTCCACTTTGAGATTTATAGGACCTTTAAAGATACAGTATGCAACTTTTCTGGAGGTTGCTCCTCACCTGCATGATTCCATAGAATCAGAAAATGAAAACCATACTTCACAACATTTTACTGGTGATAAATATGTTTTATGCCATATTGTGAAATATTACAGCCAAAGAAACAATATTTCCATGGAAACAAGCGGAGGCTCTCCTGGTCAAATAAGAGTCAGGTTTGTGTGCAAGCCGGCTCACAGGAGGAAGGCATGTTTTTATAAAAATGTTAGTTCAGTAGAAGACAAGCACAATGAAAACACATGCTTTTATGTCAGTAGGTCTGCATTTTTGGGCTAAAAAGTTGCAGACTGTGGCTTGAACAAAAGCTACATTAGATACATGTTAGGGCAAATTGAACAGCGGTAAATGGAGTTGGTGAGTATTTTTATCTTTATGTGCTGATTTTTCATATAGCCTGAAGTCTAGAATAAGTTTATTGACTTGTTTACATGTAGCCTCGCTGACCTCTAGTGTCAAAGCAGGAGACACAACTCTGCAGGGTCCAACCCCAAACAGAAATAACTCTTTTGAAACCATCAGTTTCATTCATGATTTTGGGTAAAAATACTTTTTTCTCTTTCATGGCAATCTTTTGTGATTTGTATCCAGAGGTGGGTAGTACTCTGTTACATTTACTCAGTGTTACCTACTTGAGTAACTTTTGAAAGAAATAATATTTTTCTAGCAGCATACTTTTACTCTTACGTGTAATATTTTAATTGAAATAATAATACTCTTACTTGAGTAAAAGCTGTGCCTCCTCTTCCCTCTGTGAGTAAGCCTGAAGTGACAAAAGCTTTTTTGTGACAATATGAAATGATTTGAACATTTGTGTTTCTTGCAGCTCCTTCACATATGATGTAGTTTGTCTCCTTTTTGTGTCTGTCCTCTGAAAACAGTAGATTTAGTGCAGTATTACAGGGTTTGTAATTCACTTCACATTATAAATCAGATGACACACACCGACAGTTACTCTAGTTTTCCCAAATGATGTTGTACTCTTATTTGAGTCAACTGAGTATTTTAGTGTTATTATTTTGAAGTAACATTACTCTTAGTCTGCTTGAGTACACCTTTGGACTTCTCTCTGTGTGTATCCCAAGATATAACATTTTTCACAACAGTGTTACAGACTGGTCACAACATTCATATAAACACTAGGGCGATTTGATACGATACACATCTAATGACACGATATTATCATGATACATGTGATAATAAATATTGCCTATATTGCACATCATACTCTCTGATCTACTGCAGTTTCTTTATACACGGGTGAAGTGCTCATCCCAAATATGTAGATTTGTGTGTTAAACATGTGAATAAAACAAAACACAAGTCCAGGTGTTTGTGAGGAGGAAACTAGAACAGAAACTAGTGTAATGGGCCCTTTAAATGATAATGCAGGTAGAACTGTTCCAGTTAGAATCCAGTTGGACCTGTATCTCTGGGGGTGATTTTTAAAACAGTTTGGGGACATTTCATTCATTCATGTCATCCTACGCTTTCACTGGATATGGACGTGTGACACAGGCCCACACACGGGGCTGTACCGCGGGTGTCCTGCAGGTGTCAGCGCTGTCCCGGGCAGGAGCAGTGCGGTGTGCGGAGAGCGCACAGACTGTATGGGAGGGAGGCTGCTCCACAGCGGCCCTGCGTTACGTTTGGATGTAGAGGAAAAATGGCCACCGGCACAGACCCAGAAAAACAGGCAGTGGACGCGAGGATACTGCAGATTTGGTGGTGACATATGGATATTCTCACAGCGCCTCGCATCAACTCGTGTTACCCTCCGGAGCGTCATACTGTCCACCGAACCACAAGCGTCTGCTGTGACCGCACACTGGTGAGTGACGCGCCGCGCAGGCTGAGAGCAGCTAGCGCCTAGCAGGGCTAGCACCAGGAATGCGCATCTTTGCTCACGGTTCTGTCGCCTCAGCGCAGCTCCGAGCCTTTGCCATGTCAGCCGTGACGGGCACACGGACACTAACCGTGCGCTCATCCCCGAGGCTGAGGCCCGGTGAGCGGAGGGCCGAGCTCCTGAGGAGCGCCGCTTTTAGCCTGACAGTTGTTGGGATCAGCTGGGCGGACGGGCTAGCGGAGGCTAACCTCCCAGAACGGCTCTGTGGCGGTATTCTGAGCACGAAACACTGGGACTGAGCTGTGCCGCTGATTCTGACCTGGCACCGGGGCAGGGGGAGCGGTGCCCGCTGATAACTGAAGGTGATGATGCACCTTTGCTTAGTCACCCGTGTCTAATACGCTGTGCTCCAGTCACACGGAGCTTTGCTCCGGACCAAAGTGACGGGCTGGCGGGCCCCAGGTCCGCTCTGGCTCCTGGTGTCTGCGCCTAAGGTCTGGAGCATCCTCCCTGTGGTGGCACCGTGCCGCAGGCCCGGCCTCATCCGCACGGGGCCCCTCCACCGGGGCTTCTCCACAGGGGGCTCCTCCACAGGGGGCTTCGTGCCAACAGGCTGGAGTAAACCCGCTCAGATTGGGAGAGGTTCACTGCCAGTATCCTGGCAGTGTGACCTGTGTTTGAGGAGATTTGAATATCGTGTAGTCTAGGTGTGGATAATTCTTGCTGTGACTCTTCTGTAGTGACCCCAGAGGACCCAGGACACAGCCTGTTACCCGGACTGGGCGAGGATGGGCCTTCAGTGGTGTTGTCACGATACTAACATTTCAAACTCAATTTCAATACTAAGAAATAGTCTTATTCCAATACCACGATGATTATAAAAAACACTCTTTATTAGACAATAGAATGTGATTTTCAACATTAAATGGAAGTTCTTTCTTTTCTCTTCCCATGTGTCTTATAAGTGTGTAATCTCAGTGGTGCAGTAGGTTCATGTTGGTCTATGTGTGTGTACTAGTCTGTGTGCTTTTATACTTGTTCTGATGCAGCTCAACATCATCTAAACACATTCAGGAAAGGTTCATTTCTGTCCTGTCAATGAGACTTTTTGTATCAGTAATAGCTTATACGAGTTTTGTACGAGAAGTTTTACTATGGATTTTCAATAGTTTTGCCAGACTGAACATTCTAAAGTGATTTCCTAATTCTACAGGAAGCCAGTGAAGGGAAGCGGCTGTGTGCTTTTAGCTTAGTCCTGTGTTTCAGTGTGGCCCAGACAGACGGTGTGACCTCTGCTCACACAGAACACAGCTCACCTCCTTTTCAATCAAGGAAAAGATCGTTCAAGACTTAAAAGTCCTTTACACAGAAAATGGGCTCTTGTGAGCTTTAAGCCATATTATAATGTTCCCTCCTTAAAAACATACTTGCTGCTGTGTTTTTTTTTTTTCATTCACACATTTGTAACCCTTTGTTATTGGTCTGTCTACATCTCCAGAGCTCAAAATGCTCTGTTCCACCTTGTGATGTCATGAAGCTGTAGTTTTCAAGTAAACAGCTCCTTTTATCTTTAGTTCAGTAGAGACTGACATTTCCAGGGCTGAAATTATCCAAATGATTCTAGTGAAAGTGGAGTTTAAAAACACAGTGGAATACATCCTGTTTTGCCACATAACATCACAAGGTGGAACTGAGTGTTTTCAGTTTGAGAGAAGAACTCAGCCTTATTTTGCAGGGTTTGCGTGTTAAACATGTGTGAATGGAACAAAACACTAGTCCATGTCTGTTTGTGATAAGGAAACGACATTAGAACAGAGATGAGAAAACAGCCTGATATGATTGTGATGATTTAAGCTTGACATTTGGCTCAAAATATTGAAACACTGTTAACAGTAGAGCTGCGATAATTAGGATACAGACTCTAAAACACATATAAGATATAATGTATGACCCCTGTAGATCATTGTGTTATCATTTAAACATTTTAAATCCTAATACTGATCTAAAACGACGTAATAAAAGAAACTGACTTCTGCATTAGAAAACTGTGGGAGCTGACATTGCATTTGCATCCAAAATGCATTTTGTCAATCATATGTCATTTATGTCATAGCTTTATGTCAACCTTCATTTGGATCAATGTTTTGAAAAGTCTTATTTCATGATAGAAACAATGGTTTGACTAGAGGACTTCTGAAATGACAGTTGGATGCGGCGTTGTACCGGCACACTGTACCATAGTCCTTTGTCTGGGAGCTTGTGACAAGATTGTGAAACTCTGTACACATGCTCCTCATATGATAATTACTCAATAACATTATTGAGTTTGCTGTTTCTGTTTTCAAATATGAGACATTTCATCTGCAAAGAAACAAAACCAGGAGATTACAGTGGGCTGATTCTGTCACTGTTACACTGTTTTGTAGCATGTTGGATTTCTATATTATCATAAAAAAGACACAATATTTTGTCTAACTTGGGACATACATTCAGTGACAGTAACTGCAAACAAATGTATCATGTTTGACTAGAAGTCAGTGGTATTGTTTCATTCACACATAAACCTGCATATTCAGGCTGAGTTCTGTCCTTCTGTTCTTCACTCAAACTGAAAACACTTTGTTCCACCTTGTGATGTCATGTGTTGATACAGGAAGAGCTCCACTGTGTTTCTAAACTACACACACATTTCACTAGAATCATTTGGATAATTTCAGCCCTGCAGTTACCATTCTCTCCTGAACAAAAGGTAAAGATAGCTGCTCACTTGAAAACTACCACTACATGACATCACAAGGTGGACCAGAGCATTTTGAGTGAGTTTTGAGAGAAACATGCTTGAATGAGGAGATAACAACATTATAACACGTCTTGAAGCTCACAAGAGTCATGTTTACGTCATATAGGACCAGTTACTGAAGGTTTAAACTGTCAGTAAATGATGACATAAGCAGAGGGATTCTGTTTTACAGCTCAGTGCTACTTCCTGTATTTTTCTACTTTTCTTCTCAACTTTTCTTTCCACAAAGTCCCACTGAACTATTGTCAGTATGTATCAGTTTTACCACAGGCCCTATCCCACCAAACCAAGTCAGAATTAGACAAACATGAAAACCTGCCATATGCGTTTTAAGTAGTCGTTCCAGTAGAAGCTTTTGTCAACAGCACAGTGAGTAGCCTGAATTTGATCTGGAGAGTTTGAGCTGAGACTGCTTCTGTTTGGGATCTTCTCACAGACTCCTTTGTAGTGTACAGTCCCTGACAAAAGTCTTGTCGATTATCCATTTTGTAGAAACAAAAGCTTATAACCTGACTTTAAATTAATCGATTGGTTTTATAAATGTCTCATATGAAGCTAAAACCCTCCCAAATTATGCTCAATAACCTAAAACAAATTAGCTTCACTGAAGAAAGATTGATCATTTAATGAACACAGAAAGGTCAGATTTTGGCAAGACAAAAGTTTTGTCGCCTACAGAAAATTGAACAAATAATTTACTTCAAATACAAAAATATGTTGCATAACATCAGTGAATGAAGTAGTGGTGCTGTGAGATCCATATTTAATATCTTGTATGATGTCCATGAGCTTGAAGGACTGCATCCATGCGGTTCGACAATGATTCATACAATTTGTTGATGAAGTCATCAGGAATAGCAAAGAAAGCGTCTTACATGCCTCCCAGAGTTCATCAAGATTCTTTGGTTTTGTCTTCCATGCTTCCTCTTTCATTCTACCCCAGACATGCTCAATGATGTTCATGTCTGGTGACTGGGCTGGCCAGTCCTGGAGCACCTTAATCTTCTTCGCCTTGAGAAACTTTGATGTAGAGATAGAAGTATGTGATGGAGCACCATCCTGCTGCAAAATTTGACCCCTTTTATGGTTGGGAATAGGGATGGGCATGATTAATCGATTAATCGATAATTGATCATTAAGAATTTCATCGATTACGTTAATTTTAATCGACAAACCGAATGTAGGTTGCTGTGCGTAGCGTGACCAAACAGGGGTCTGTACATGTGGCTCTCTGCATCAGAAGGAGCGAGCAAACACAAACAGTCGGTCAGTCTGCAGCGTATCGAAGCACAAATGCGTATTTAACGATGATTTGTACAAGAAATTCCACGCTTTCCGTTGCGTTCGGGACAAGTGTGAGTCCATGTGCACAGTGTACAAAGCAAGAACATATGTTTCAGTGTCCAGTGGGAAAAAGCTTTACCAGGTGAGAGTCGCGCAATGTCGATGACGAGTCCCCACCTCCCTCCCCCCATACGGTGTCCTGGTTTTGACAAACGCAAATCTGGTCACACTAACCTGTATTCCACTGAGTCATGTTTTTTAATCCGACAGAAATTGACCGCATCAGCGACACAAGAGCTGTTGTTTTATCTTCGCTGAGTTTATGCAAATTAGCGATGCGATTTTAAGTTTCGTTTCTGTGAGGGTTGCGCAAAAATGAATTAAACACATTATAATCTCAAACGGATTGATGTGGCTCTTGAGTCATTACGGTTTATATGTCGTAAAGTTGAATTTATTTATGCAGATTAGTGCAGATAGTAATAATAATAATGATCATTTTAATATAAAAACGTTAATGATTAATCGATAATCGATCGTTAATTCTTCCGACGATCGATTAAGAAAATTTCATCGAATGCCCATCCCTAGTTGGGAATGTAAGAGGAGCTAATACTTCTTGATATTTTAGGTTATTGATATTTGCCTTCCACCCTGCAAATGTCTCGCACACCCCCAGACTGGATGGAACCACAGACCATGACTTTTCCGCCACCAAACTTAACTGTTTTCTGGGTGAATCTTGGATCCATGTGGCTCCAGTAGGTCTCCTGCAATATTTGCGGCGGCTGTGATGTAATTCAACCGAGGATTCATCTGAGAAATCCACCTTCTGCCACTTTTCCAGTGTCCATCCTTTTAGCAGGCTGTGGGCCTTGGCAAATGCCACACGGTTTTTTAA